ACAAGTTGAAAATTGCAAAAATTTTCTACGTGAAGGGCAATAACTCTAAAAATACTAAATAAATCCAGACGAAAATACCTGGTGCACAACTGCACATGCTGATCAATATTCCTGTAAAGTTACATGACTGTAGGTCAAATACTTTTTGAGTTATGTGCGACACATGTTGAAAATTGCCAAATTTTACTAAGTCAAGGGCAATAACTCTGAAAATACTACAAATATCCAGATGAAAATACCCAGGTGCACAACTACACATGCTGATCAACATTCCTGTAAAGTTTCATGACTCTAGGTCAAATACTTTTTGAGTTATGTGCGACACAAGTTAAAAATTGCAAAATTTTACTAAGTCATAGGCAATAACTCTAAAAAATACTAAAAATATGCACACGAAAATACCCAGGTGCACAACTACACATGCTGATCAACATTCCTGTAAAGTTTCATGACTCTAGGTCAAATACTTTTTGAGTTACATGCGACACAAGTTGAAAATTGCAAAATTTTACTAAAGTCAAGGGGCAATAACTCTGAAAATACTAAAAATATCCAGACGAAAATACCCAGGTGCACAACTACACATGCTGATCAACATTCCTGTAAAGTTTCATGCCTGTAGGTCAAATACTTTTGGAGTTACATGCGACACAAGTTGAAAATTGCAAAATTTTACTAAGTCAAGGGCAATAACTCTGAAAATACTAAAAATATCCCGACCAAAATACCCAGGTGCACAACTACACATGCTGATCAACATTCCTGTAAAGTTTCATGACTCTAGGTCAAATACTTTTTGAGTTACGTGCGACACAAAAGTGAACGGACGGACGGACGGAAGGACGGACGGACAGACGGACGGACGGAAGGACGGACGGACAAGGGTAAATCTAAATGCCCGCCACTAACGTGGGGGCACAAAAATACACTTAAAATACACATTCCAGTATTAACAAATAAACAAGAGGGCCATGATGGCCCTGAGGTCGCTCACCTGTATATAGCCCCCCCAAACCCCCACCCCCCCCCCCAACGTTGCAGGGCCAATTTAACCCAAGGGCTTTAATTTGCACGAACTTGGTAGACACCCATAAGAAGATGTTTCATGCTAAACATCTAAGCTCTAGCTCATTGGGCTTTTTAAAAGAAGATTTTTTTTTAAAGTTTTTAACTATACACATATAGTTAAAAACAATGACACCCCTGGGGCCGGGCCAGGGCTTTTATTTGAACAAACTTTGTAGACACTTACTAGAAGATGTTTCATGCTTAATATCTAAACTCTAGCTATTTGGGTTTTTTCAAAGAAGATTTTAAGTTTTTGCTATACACATATAAAGAAAATCAATGACCCCCGGGGCGGGACCAATTTTGACCCCAGGTCTTATATTTGAACAAACTTTGTAGACACTCACTAAAAGATGTTTCATGCTTAATAGCTTAACTCTAGCTATTTGGGTTTTTTCAAAGAAGATTTTTTAAGTTTTTTGCTATACACATATAAGGAAAATCAATGACCCCCGGGGTGGTGCCAATTTTGACCCCAGTGCTTTTATTTGAACAAACTTGGTAGACACCTATTAGAACATGTTTGATGCTCAATATCTTAGCCATAGCTCTTTGAGTTCTTTAAAAGAAGATTTTTTAAGTTTTTACTATATGCATATAGGGAAAATCAATGACCCCCGGGGCGGGGCCAATTTTGACCCCAGGGCTTTTATTTGAACAAACTTGGTAGACACCCATTAGAACATATTTCATGCTAAATATCTTAGCTCTAGCTCTTTGGGTTCTTTAAAAGAAGATTTTTTAAGTTTTTACTATATGCATATAGGGAAAATCAATGACCCCCCGGGGCGGGGCCAATTTACTTGAACAAACTTGGTAGACACTCACTAGAAGATGTTTCATGCCAAATATCTAAGCTCTAGCTCTTATGTTTTTTTAAAAGAAGATATTTAAAGTTTTTTCTTTCGGTTGCCATGGCAACCAGAGTTCTGCATGGAATTAAATTCTTTGAACAATTTTTAAAGGTGACCACCAAAGGAACATTCCTGTGAAGTTTGGATGAAATTGGCTTAGTGGTTTATGAGGAGATGTCATTTAAAGTAAAAGTTTACGGACGGACGCCGGACGGACGGACGCCAGACGAAAAGCGATCACAAAAGCTCACCCTGTCACTTTGTGACAGGTGAGCTAAAAACAAGCACATTTTCTGAAGTGATATCCCCAGCCATACAATACAAATCACTTGATTAAAGCATTTTTGTATTCTGAGGTACAGAACTGTAGAGGAAATGAATATGGTATCTTTACTACAAATTATACAAAACCTACAAAATGTACTGTGTTCAACACAAAAGTTCTTATAGTAAAATGATACCTTTGTGAGATATACTGGTACTAATAATGACATTAAAATATCATGAAATTTTAAGGTTATGTTCAAGTGAGCTAAAAAACAGAACAAGATATTAAGATTTTTTGCCTCTGCATTTGTACATGTTCCAGTTCATTTTTAGTTTCAAGTCAGTCCCTTATATAGCCTAAAACTTATGCTACAGACAGGAAAATAATTTGAAATGAAACAATAAAAGGTTAATATTAGCATGGCATATATAGTAGGGTTGTTAGGTTATAATTGACCCGCAAAATGAATAATGACCTTGAGGGCTTCAGTCCCAGAGCATTATTCATTTCAGGACTGATTATCACTTTCCAGCCAATCTATGACAATCACTTTCCAGCCAATCTATGACATGTATTAACACTTTACCTCATATAAACGCAAAACAACGCACTTTCGACCCCCCCCCCCCCCTTTTAGGCCTCAAATGGTGAAAAAATGTCCTATTTGGGCCCCAAACACGTTTTCGTTTGAGAACTGTTGCTAAAAAAAGTGAGCACTTTTTCGGCGCTGCCCCCCATCCAAAAGATACATCAAGGGGTTGCCAGAAGGGGGATGTGCCCCCTTCTGTTTGGGGGGTTTGAAGGGGGGCGGTATTACCCCTCATCACCAAGAAAATTTTGGACTTGTGAGAGGCTAAAAATGAACCCAGGTCAATGTAACCAACGCTGAAAAGTCTTTGACTCTATCTCAATCCCTTGAGAAGTTGCAGCACTTTGAAATAAATTTTGATGGGAAAAATGAAGGCAAAATAGTGATTTTTGGCAATTTTGAGATGTCCCCTCGTTGCCATGGTAACAGAAAATTTAAGACTGAGCATTACAAAGGCAATGGTCCAGTCAACATTTGTGCCAAGTTTGATTAGTATTGAAGCATTTTTCATAGTTTCATAGCAGTTTGAACTTGTAACAGTAGGCTTTTCAATGAAAACGGCCATTTTTCACAATATGCTCATGAGGGAAAGGGTTAATGACTTTAATACACTTTAATAAACTTGATAGATTTAATAGTCACACTATTTTTTTAAATTACTTTAATATTCTGTCCTTGAATTCCTGTCTCTGTACAGCTGTAGAGACAATCAGAAATTCTCACCTATTATTCATAATAACCTCAGACTTAATACAGATTGAAAATAGTTTTAACAGGTGGTTTTAGATGTAAACAAAATTTTGGTGAAAATATATACCAAATATTTCTATTATGACCTTTGACCTCTGAGTATGATATAAAAACTAAATTCAATCTTTTGCTGTAACCTTGGCTTCTGAGCTAGGAACCTGAGTCTTGGAAGCAACACATCATTTACCTCCTATGGATTTTATGTACCAGTTTATTCTAAAATCTCATCATGCAGGTAGAAGTTATGGATCATACACAAATCTCATCATGCATGTAGAAGTTATGGATCATACACAAATCTCATCATGCATGTAGAAGTTATGGATCATATACAAATCTCATCATGCATGTATAAGCTATGGATAGTACACAAATCACATCATGCATGAAGAAGTTATGGATCATATACAAATCTCATCATGCATGAAGACGTTATGGATAGTACACAAATCACATCATGCATGAAGAAGTTATGGATCATACACAAATCTCATCATGCATGTAGAAGTTATGGATCATACACAAATCTCATCATGCATGTAGAAGTTATGGATCATACACAAATCTCATCATGCATGTAGAAGTTATGGATCATATACAAATCTCATCATGCATGTAGAAGTTATGGATCATACACAAATCTCATCATGCATGTAGAAGTTATGGATCATATACAAATCTCATCATGCATGAAGACGTTATGGATAGTACACAAATCACATCATGCAGGTAGAAGTTATGGATCGTACACAAATCTCATCATGCATGTATAAGCTATGGATCATATACAAATCACATCATGCATGTAGAAGTTATGGATAGTACACAAATCACATCATGCATGAAGAAGTTATGGATCATATACAAATCTCATCATGCATGTAGAAGCTATGGATAGTACACAAATCACATCATGCATGAAGAAGTTATGGATCATATACAAATCTCATCATGCATGAAGACGTTATGGATCATACTAAAATCTCATCATGCATGTAGTAGTTATGGATCATACACAAATCACATCATGCATGTATAAGTTATGGATCATATACAAATCTCATCATGCATGAAGAAGTTATGGATCATACTAAAATCTCATCATGCATGTAGAAGTTATGGATCATACACAAATCACATCATGCATGAAGAAGTTATGGATCGTACACAAATCACATCATGCATGTATAAGTTATGGATCATACACAAATCTCATCATGCAGGTAGAAGTTACGGATCATACACAAATCTCATCATGCATGAAGAAGTTATGGATCATACACAAATCTCATCATGCATGAAGAAGTATGGATCGTACACAAATCTCATCATGCATGAAGAAGTTATGGATCATACACAAATATCATCATGCACGTAGAAGTTATTTATGGATAGTACACAAATCACATCATGCATGTAAAAGTTATGAATCATAAACAAATCCCATCATGCATGTATAAGTTATGGATCGTACACAAAGTACTACTTTACTTAGGACAAGACAAATACAAGAAAATGCATACCCACGCTGTCAATACCTTATTTCAGTTATTTTTGACTGAAGCTTGTTAATTAGGTTAAATAACACTTTTGTTATAGCATTTCCTAACAAAACAAAAAAACAATGGTTTCAAACTGCTCACATGATTTTAGTTCTATTAAAGCACTATTGTGACATGATGGCAAACTTTGCCTATTTTAGCACTGTAATAAGGGTATAAATAAATATATAGTTTTATTTATTTTAGGCCATTTGGTTTCAAGTAATTTTTAAGATATTGTGAGTAATGTTGGTAACCTTGTATAACCTTGTTAGTACATACTGTGACCTTGTTTATGACCTGGGTGTGATTACTGTTTGTATGACATACTCTATGGGATCAAGACTAGTGATCTCAAGACTTTCTTCTTGAAGTAATATTATTATGTACATGTACAATAATAATGATAAAAATCCACAAAATATCATTTTAAATTATTAAAGTAACATATTCAAATGTGTGCTAAATCTTATAAAAGTAACAAAACTAACAACATTTGAATTCATAAAAGAAAAACACCACTTGAGCTTCATACCCTCTAATATATCTGTTTAAAATTATCACAGAGCTTGATTGAATAGAGTCAGGAAGCTTTGACTTTAGACACTTAAAATCTGTATATTACACAAGTTCACATTTTCGCGAGATTTTCCAAGACAATGTTTGACACAAGAAAATTAACCTATATGTATGCTATTTAAAATTTGTTATGGTAATCAAAAGAAGTAACAAAAAAAGTAAGGAAAAGCAATAAAGTTTAAGAAGATGTAAATTATTCTCTGTAATGGATGTAAATATAAACACATTTGGTTATGTAAAACAAGATGGCTGAAGTTGATCAACTCCATGTGCCAATTAATCTCGCTCAAGGGATTGGAAACTTTTCTATTTTCAGAGCTCCTTATCCCTATGTAATATACCAACCAAAGCTGATGAGGTTGTATGAAGTATGACATTAAATTGCTGTTCAAAGGACTACACTGAAGTTTACTGACATGACAAGACTGGAAATACTTTATTGAGATTTATATACTATTTGATATAGATCAGATGTATACTGAAAACTTGAGTACAAATTTAAACATTATTTGCTCTCCCTATTTTTCCAGGATAATCATTTTTATTGAGCTAAAGACTTAAAAATAAAGAAAAAATAAACACATTTAACTCAAGTCAAGCTAAGAATCATACTAAAAAGGTATTTTCAATTTCAATTTGAGAATATTTTTTTATATTGTTTTTCATATTTTCCTGTTTTTCAGTGCCAAAGTTGACCTATGAAAGATTTTCAAATTTGATATTTTCATGATTTTGGACCACAGTGGAGCTCCTTTTAGAGTCATAATAATTTATGATTTATCCTCTTAACCTTCAGTTTAACAATTAAATAAAAAACACAATAATTACAGCTTTACTTCTCACTTACTTCTACCTCAAATTAGTTAACATCAATTTATATCAAGTACAATAACTATGAGAACAACCAACCTTGCTACAAAATATTTGTATCAAACTACTCTCTCACTTATGAACTGATAAAATCTCTCTGCATAAACATGAGGAGGTTCAGTTGAATGGTTCCCACAACATGTTTTAATGTCCTTAAAAATTTTAGCAATTCTCTGTCGGCATCCAAACTGGGTAAAAAAATCAATCACTCCAACATAGTATCGTAAATTTTCTCCATCAATTATATGTAAACTGTTTTCATTGTTTATCAACAAACGCCGGTTATGGAAAGGTATTCCGGTAGAATCTAGATAATCCTTATCTGACAACGATCGTAAAAAAGTCACATTTCTTCTCCTCACTGGTGAAACTGCATTATTTTTCATTGGTGACTTTTTTGGTGACCTGAAGCTGAGTCGTTTTTGTGGAGAATGTTTTGACATCGCAGTTTCTTGATTAACAGCAATAGACTGCAATTCAAACGTCTCTGTACTATTTTGATTTTCATGTAAAGGTGTACCTGTAAAATAATCAAAGACATTATAGAATTAACACTTATACTGCCAGTTTCTAGCTGAATTTTTAAGTTTGTCATCAATTATTATTTCATTAAGTGTTGATTTAGGTGTTCCCACCAGGGTAAAGATTAAAGGGGTATGTCTACGAGACACATATTGACATATAGCATAAAGAAAAGACCCAAGGGCCTTAAAGGTCACTCGAGATTATATATTCTTCCTTTTTTGCATAAATAACATTAAGACATTGAACATTGATTAAAAACATCAAACATACAGTGTTTGATTACAATATCTTATTCCAACTCTAATTATTGTCTGAAAACCATTTTTCTATTTTTAATAATGATGACCTTGACCTTGACTCAAGGTGGTCCGAATGCAATACTAGCCCAGATTTTAATATTAGCTTGCTAAATACCAAGTTTGATAATTCCTAACTCTAGTATTTGTCTAAAAACCATTTTTCTATTTTTAGTAACAGTTAAACCTGGACCTAGACTCAAGGGTCCTTTCAATCCCAACCGGGATCTTCATATAAGCTTGCTAAATACCAAGTTTGATAACAATATCTTATTTCTAACTCTAGATATTGTCCAGAACCATTTTTCTATTTTTAGAAATGGTGGCCTTGACCCCTGGGGGTCCAGAAGCAATACTATATGGGGTTTCCACATAAGGTTGCTATATACCAAGTTTGATTACAATATCTCATTCCAAACTCTAGTTATCGTCTGGAAACCATGACGGAGACCGACCAAAGAATGAACATGCAACCGAATTGAGATAAAGGGCCTTTCTATTGTTATTTTTTCTATAGAGGGCCATTGTCCCCTTACTCTATTGTTACAGAATGAACTCTATTGTTCTCTTTTGTTCTGTTTACATTAAGATGGCTGTCTAAACACTATTTGGTAGTGCGGACAAAAAGACGGATAGAGGGTAAACCTACAGCTCCCTCCTGCCAATAAAAAGGGACTAAATAATGTAAAGCTACCTATACACACAGTGCATTGTGATATAGCATTGATATTACAAATTCAAGTCAAATCTCTACTGGTTGCTGAGATGGAACATACAATAATAAAGTTATAGCTAATTATAACAAAAAAAATCAGTAACTTGACCCTGTAAGTCATTTATGACTGAGGGATCAATATAAGTCAAGTCTCATTAACCCAGTGTCAATTCATTCATATATCTAAGCTATAGCCACTTTGGTATATTTTTGGGACATTTTTAAGTTAGAAAAGATGCAAAATTATGTCAAACTTAAACTGTCCGAGTTATAAAATTTTACACAGTATCCCACACATGCGCGCACACCTACAGATGCATTGTAATTTTGCATTAATATGAACTGTGTTAAATGGTAAATCTAAATGCAACCCCCGCCCCTTATAATGGGGGCACAAAAAGTGAAAAATTCAATAATTACACCTTCAAGGTCAAGAGTCAAGGTGCAGCTTAGTTTGATCTTCATAAAGGTCTTGTCTTAAAGGATGATGTGTCTAAAAATGAAGAGAGTCCATTCATAAATAACAGATTTATAGCCAGTTACAGCTAAAAATTAACATACCTTGAAGATCAAGGTCATTTATGATCCAGGATATTGTTAGTGTGATCAACTTGAAAGAACATTCCAAGAGAGTTGTTATGTCCATGTATGAAGACAATTCATTAATTAAACATGATAGGGAACAAGTCCCATGTATAGTTTTAATATTTTTTTTCAAGTACCTTAGCAGGAAAACTATCCAAGAATTTCAAAGTCAAAGAGAGGCCATAACTGAGAAAAAATGAATTTTAGGATTATCTGCCCTTCTGGAATGGTGTGATATTTTGATAGTGAACCGGTTTATTAAGTTTGCAGTTTGATAGATTCTGAGAAAATGAACTTTAACTAAACGGTAAACCTTGGCAAAAAAATTTAAGTTGAACTAGAACTATCACTAAATGTGATTAATACCCCCACAAGACTGCTTCGGAAATGAGGATGTTACTAGTAACAGAATATCTTGTAAAAGAATTGAAATATAGAGTTATGGTTGTGGGCAATTAAAGATAGTTGTGGTTCTTGTATGTTGCATTTCCTTTCAATGTGGTTGGCCATTGATGAAGTTTTATTGAATTACTCTGTAATAAGTCCAGAAGACAAGGAAAAGAAACAAAGGGCAATAACTCTATAACTAGAACTATCACTAAATGTGATTAATACCCCCACAAGTCTGCTTCGGAAATGAGGATGTTACTAGTAACAGAATACCTTGTAAAAGAATTGAAACATAGAGTTATGGTTGTGGGCAATTAAAGATAATTGTGGTTCATGTATGTTGCATTTCCTTTCAATGTGGTTGGCCATTGATGAAGTTTAATTGAATTACTCTGTAATAAGTCCAGAAAGACAAAGAAAAAGAACAAAGGGCAATAACTCTATAAATACTGAAGATAGAGTTATAGTTCTTGTGCACTGCACTTCCTCTTATTGTGCTTGACCATTGTATGAAGTTGTTTTGGATTCCAACCAGTACGTTTTAAGTTATGCTCCGGACAAGGAAAAGTATCAAAGGGCAGTAACTCTGTATTTTGTCAAAATGGCGTTATGGCTCTTGTGCACTGCACTTCCTTTGAATGTCCTTGACAACTGTATGAAGTTGTACTGAATTCCAAACAGTAGTTTTCAAGTTATGCTCTGGACAAGGAAAAGTAACAAAGGGCAATAACTCTGTAATTAGTCAAGATAAAGTTATGGTTCTTGTGCACTGCACTTCCCCTTATTGTTCTTGACCATTGAATGAAGTTGTTTTGAATTCCAACCAGTAGTTTTCAAGTCATGCTCTGGACAAGGAAAAGTAACAAAGGGCAGTAACTCTGTAATTAGTCAAGATGGAGTTATGGTTCTTATGCACTGCATTTCCTCTCAATGTGCTTGACCATTGTATGAAGTTATAATGAATTCCAACAATAAGTTTTCCAGTTATGGTCCAGACAAAAGAAAGCAATGGAAAAATAACAAAGGGCAATAACTCTGTAATTAGTCAAGATGGAGTTATGGTTCTTGTGCACTGCACTTCCCCTTATTGTGCTTGACCATTGTATGAAGTTGTTTTGAATTCCAACCAGTAGTTTTAAAGTCATGCTCTGGACAAGGAAAAGAAACAAAGGGCAGTAACTCTGTAATAAGTCAAAATGGAGTTATGGTTCTTGTGCACTGCACTTCCTCTCAATGTGCTGGACCATTGTATGAAGTTATAATGAATTCCAACAATTAGTCTTCAAGTTATGGTCCGGACAAAAGAAAGCAATGGAAAAGTAATAAAAGGGCAATAACTCTGTAATTACTTTAGATAGAGTTATGGTTCTTATGCACTGCACTTCCTCTCAATGTGCTTGACCATTGTATGTAGTTATATTGAATTCCAACCATTAGTATTCAAGTTATGGTCCGGACAAAAAAAAGAAGGCAATGGAAAAGCAACAAAGGGCAATAACTCTGTAATTACTTTAGATAGAGTTATGGTTCTTGTGCACTGCACTTCCCTTATTGTGTTTGACAATTGTATGAAGTTGTTTTTGAATTCCAACCAGTAGTTTTCAAGTTATGCCACGGACAAGGAAAAGTAACAAAGGGCAATAACTCTGTAATTAGTCAAGATAGAGTTATGTTTCTTACGCACTGCACTTCCTCTCAATGTGCTTGACCATTGTATGAAGTTATATTGAATTCCAACCATTAGTCTTCAAGTTATGCTCCGGACAAGGAAAATGCAACGGACAAAAAAAAAAGGCAATGGAAAAGCAACAAAGGGCAATAACTCTGTAATTACTTTAGATAGAGTTATGGTTCTTGTGCACTGCACTTCCCCTTATTGTGTTTGACAATTGTATGAAGTTGTTTTGAATTCCAACCAGTAGTTTTCAAGTTATGCCCAGACAAAGAAAAAGTAACAAAGGGCAATAACTCTGTAATTAGTCATGATAGAGTTATGGTTCTTGTGCACTGCACTTCCTCTCAATGTGCTTGACCATTGTATGTAGTTATATTGAATTCCAACCATTAGTTTTCAAGTTATGCTCCGGACAAGGAAAATGCAACGGACGTCTGGACCGACCGACCGACCAACCGACCGACCGACCACCGGGTGACTCCTATATACCCCCCCAAACTTCGTTTTTGGGGGTATAAATACTAAAGATGGAGTTATAGTGCTTGTGCACTGCACTTCCTCTTATTGTGTTTGACCATTGTATGAAGTTGTTTTGAATTCCAACCAGTACGTTTTAAGTTATGCTCCGGACAAGGAAAAGTATCAAAGGGCAGTAACTCTGTATTTTGTCAAAATGAAGTTATGGCTTTTGTGCACTGCACTTCCTTTTAATGTCCTTGACAACTGTATGAAGTTGTATTGAATTCCAAACAGTAGTTTTCAAATTATGCTCTGGACAAGGAAAAGTAACAAAGGGCAATAACTCTGTAATTAGTCAAGATGGAGTTATGGTTCTTGTGCACTGCACTTCCTCTCAATGTGCTTGACCATTGTATGAAGTTATATTGAATTCCAACTATTAGTCTTCAAGTTATGCTCCGGACAAAAAAAGCAATGGAAAAGTAACAAAGGGCAATAACACTGTAATAAGTCAAGATGGACTTATAGTTCTTGTGCACTGCACTTCCCCTTATTGTGCTTGACAAATGTATGAAGTTGTTTTGAATTCCAACCAGTAGTTTTCAAGTCATGCTCTGGACAAGGAAAAGTAACAAAGGGCAGTAACTCTGTAATAAGTCAAGATGGAGTTATGGTTCTTGTGCACTGCACTTCCTCTCAATGTGCTTGACCATTGTATGAAGTTATATTGAATTCCAACTATTAGTCTTCAAGTTATGCTCAGGACAAAAAAAGCAATGGAAAAGTAACAAAGGGCAATAACACTGTAATAAGTCAAGATGGAGTTATAGTTCTTGTGCACTGCACTTCCCCTTATTGTGCTTGACCATTGTATGAAGTTGTTTTGAATTCCAACCAGTACGTTTTAAGTTATGCTCCGGACAAGGAAAAGTAACAAAGGGCAATAACTCTGTAATTAGTCAAGATAGAGTTATGGTTCTTGTGCACTGCACTTCCTCTCAATGTGCTTGACCATTGTGTGTAGTTATATTGAATTCCAACCACTAGTCTTCAAGTTATGCTCCGGACAAGGAAAATGCAACGGACGTCTGAACCGACCGACCGACCACCGGGTGACTCCTATATACCCCCCCCAAACTTCATTTTTGGGGGTATAAAAAGGGGCATAAATTTGCATCAAACAATTTTAGAATTAACTGCCCTGTTGAACTGATGTCCTTTCATGACAATATGTATACCAAGTTTGAAGTGTATAGCTTTTATAATTTGTGAGAAAATGATGAATCATCCCTGACAGAAATGCCAACACTGACAAGAGGGTCATGACAATAGCTCTCCTTTTCTCTTTGAGCAAATGAAGTGTAACCAAATATTAATGTTAATGAAACAAATATAGTATGCTTAAATTTACCATGAGCCTGATTGTTTGATACAGGTTGTTGATTGTTAGTAGCACCATAATCCTCATTGGCCTCTTTCAAAGGCTGACTACTCTTATCTTGTCCAAATGTCCTACAAAACAAATAAGAATTATAATTGTTACAATGTTGTATATAGTTTATCAGACCTGACAATGGCCCTGCTTATGACAAAGATATGACATTGTCAAATCAGGATTCCATATTCATTATATATTTTGCCAGTTAATATGTAATTTTACAAACCTCACATTAAAATTTTTCTAATCAAAAACACATTTTAATAGGTAACTATTTTATTTGTTTGATTTTACAGTGCACCAACACAGTTAATGTCTTATGGCACCAAAACAGAAAAGATTTGGCTAACCGCAGCTGCAAATGTAGAAAAAATGCCACAAAAATAAAGTTCTTGTGCACTGCACTTCTTCTCAATGAAATCTATCATCCTATGAAGTTTCAAGTCAGTAGCTTTTAAAATCAAGTATTACAATTAACAAAGAACAATAACTTTAAAATCATTAAGTACAGAGTATCCGTTCTTGTGCACTGCACATCTTCTCAATAAGATCTATCATCCTATGAAATTTAAATTCCATAGCTTTTACAAAAGTAACCCCTATATGTCGCCTTTTTTAAGGCGACACAAAAAATCTAGTAAATAAGCAATTTTGACAAAAGTGTAAGTTAACAAGATTGCATTTGTGAAACAAGATTTCCAATGGCAACATGTCGTGTCTGTTGTCACATCTGACCTTGAGGTATGACCTTGAGCTTTGACCTAGTCAAACAGTTCTTGCGTGCGACATGCTGTCTTATGACGTTGAACATTTGTGCCAGGTTATTTAAAATTCCACCAGCTAGTGATAGAGTCATGGTGCGGACAAGCTGTTTGAGACCAGTTTTTTGCATCTGACCTTAAAGTTTGTACTTGACATTTGGCCTAGCCACACAGTTCTTGCTCATGAGACGCCATCTCATTATTGTGAACATTTGTCCTAAGTTATTTGAAAATCTGCCTACTAATCACAGCCATAAAGTCTATTTTTAGCTCCTGTCATCAGACAGGAACTATTTTTATGAATTTTGTACTGGGTAAGTTAAGAATCATTTCTGTGATGTTTGGTCAAAATCCTAAACGTGGTCAAAGAAAAGATGTTGTTTAAATAAATTGTGGATAATGACGAAACTACAGACAACTTACCACAGACACATTGTCATCTCTATGCACTTTGTGCTCAGGTAAGCTAAAATATGGAGCTAAAATGATAAGATGACAATATGCCTCTCTTCATGACAATCATTCTGTAAACGTTTGCTTTGAGAAATGTAGTTGTGCACAGAAGAAATTGTTAAGGCTTGACAGCTGAGCTACACAGCATCATTCACTAATCTAATAACCAGTATTTCCCTTCAGAAAACCTGGTTAAATATTTTATTTGAAGTATCATTTTAGTGAAAGTACAGTCATGTTTTCATTTATGCATTGTCATAGTTTGATGATATCAGATGATAAAACAAACCATTCTCTAGAGATATACATGTATATTACCATGGTGATAAAGTGATGAAAAGTAATACAAATATAAAGACAGAAGTGAAATTGAATTCTTTATAGGAAATTTAAGATAACTATGATGATGAATGAAATGATATTGAAAGTAAAAGATGAATAAAAAACATATGACAATGATAGTACTAAGTGATAATACTGTTGATAATATTGGTGATTACAAACTTGTATGATTGATGATGAATGAAATCTTAATTCCTTTCATTCTTAAACTTTAAATACAATATCTAAAATTTAATCTTGAAAGTGTTTTAATAGTATAGCATTCCTTTGTGAGATAAAACTTGTGTTAAATTAGTTCAAAACTTTAGAACATAATTACTTTTTCATGCGTAAGACAAGGTTGCCGACTGATTCTTTTTTCTCTGTTGCATGTAGTGGATGTCTACCTAGCAACAGACTGTAATCTAAAACCCCTATAGATAACAGAAAGTCCACATCTGCCCGCAGCTGTGTAAGGAACCAGTCCCGCTGGTTACCTGAAAAAAGATTCTCATAAAACAAGTGATATACATGTACTATTGCCATAAAAGTAGTAAAGCTACATATAGTAAAATATATTACAAAATATTGAAAATCTATGCAATAATGCTGTTTTCATATACCTATATTGTTATATCCGGACTGATCAAAAGGTGCTTAATATTATAACTGATGAATTAACTGACCAACTTGAATTGCATTTATGTCAATGCTACGAATGTTCATTTATTATTTGTAGTTGTAATTAGTGATTAACCTTCATTTCAACAATTAAATATTTCAGCATTGCTGTTATCAACAATAACAAACCTACTACTTTGGTCATTCAATTAGGCACATATATATACATCTACAAATGTAAATGTAATAGCAGCAGATCCATGTTACTGGAATTCCGTTTCTCTTGAAGTAAAATGCCAAGTCCCTTTAATTTGAGTTACCCAGAGTCAACTGTTTTTGAAACTGATCAGCCAGTAGTACAGAGTGAGGATACTTGTAGCAAATTGTAGGTCCACCTTTCTAAAGTATAACATCACTTTAAGTAGCTCCTTACATTGAAATCTCTGATTGTAAGTTTTCTTACCTAAACATAATGTTTCCTCCATAAAGTTTTGATCTTTCAGAACAATGATTGTCTTCTTGCCTGATGGATTTGGCTGAAAATAAATTTATACTTTATATATGTACAGTAAACTCTGCTTATAGTGAACTCATTGGGACATTCAAATTTGTTCCTTATATCAGGAGTCCCTAATATGAGGATATAGCAAATTATATTAGAAGCTTTTATAGTGAACACAATCATTTAGAATGAACTCATATTATATATATTTTAGATTTCTCAATTTAATTTATTGCCTACTGGTTTCTATAATCATCAGGGCAAATAAACATAAACCATAGTTACAACGTCATTTGACTTTATTTGTGTACACATGTGTACGAAACGTAAAAAATGTTGACATCATCAATTTTTGTTTAGTTTTGGTTTAAACACATCAATAAAATAAAGCTCTTTTCATAACCTAGCTGATACGCCAGTATTATATAATTTGTAAAAAGGAAATATGGAAAATTTAGGAGTATTTGTTGTAACAGTAACAAAAGTGCAATAACTGATTCAAAATAGTGTTTATCACAAGAGTTTGAACAAAGTTGGTCACTAGACCATACTTCATGTAAAATATATTATTAATTGTACTATATACATGGTCCTAATTTCATAGCTGTACAACAAAAGCAAGAAAGTAGGTCACAAGGTCAATATCTAGGTCATTTGACTACATGTACACCTGAAATTGTGCACATGGTCAAAATGTGATAGCTGTATATGAAAAAGCCAAGGGAGGTCACTTCATCATTATCTAGGTAAGCTGATACCAAAGTTCAATTTTACATCTAAAACTGTGCACATGGCCTTAATTTCATAGCTTAACATCAAAGGACAAGAAAGTAGGTCACATCATCAAAATCTAAGTCAGCTGATATCAATGTAAAACTGTGCACATGTGTGTCCCCTTAGGCAGTGCAAAATTTTGACCCAAGGGTTTATTTAAAAAAAATCTTGATACAGGTCCACAAGACAATGTTTCATGTTGATATCTAAGCTCTTAAGCTTTCTCCTATCAGAAACTAGAACTATCACTAAATGTGATTAATACCCCCACAAAACTGCTTCAGAAATGAGGATGTTACTAGTAACAGAATGCCTTGTAAAAGAATTGAAATATAGAGTTATGGTTGTGGGCAATTAAAGATAGTTGTGGTTCTTGTATGTTGCATTTCCTTTCAATGTGGTTGGCCATTGATGAAGTTTTATTGAATTACTCTGTAATAAGTCCAGAAAGACAAGGAAAAGAAACAAAGGGCAATAACTCTATAAATACTGAAGATGGAGTTATAGTTCTTGTGCACTGCACTTCCTCTTATTGTGCTTGACCATTGTATGAAGTTGTTTTGAATTCCAACCAGTACGTTTTAAGTTATGCTCCGGACAAGGAAAAGTATCAAAGGGCAGTAACTCTGAATTTTGTCAAAATGGAGTTATGGCTCTTGTGCACTGCACTTCCTTTTAATGTCCTTGACAATTGTATGAAGTTGTTTTGAATTCCATTTAGTAGTTTTCAAGTTATGCCCCGGACAAGGAAAAGAAACAAAGGGCAATAACTCTGTAATTAGTCAAAATAGAGTTATGGTTCTTGTGCACTGCACTTCCTCTCAATGTGCTTGACCATTGTATGTAGTTATATTGAATTCCAACCATTAGTCCGGACAAAAGAAAGGAATGGAAAAGTAACAAAGGGCAATAACTCTGTTATTACTTTAGATAGAGTTATGGTTCTTGTGCACTGCACTTCCCCTTATTGTGTTTGACAATTGTATGAAGTTGTTTTGAATTCCAACCTGTAGTTTTCAAGTTACGCCCAGGACAAGGAAAAGTAACAAAGGGCAATAACTCTGTAATTAGTCAAGATAGAGTTATGGTTCTTGTGCACTGCACTTCCTCTCAATGTGCTTGACCATTGTGTGTAGTTATATTGAATTCCAATCATTAGTCTTCAAGTTATGCTCTGGACAAGGAAAATGCAACGGACGTCTGGACCGACCGACCGACCGACCAACTGACCGACCGACCGACCACCGGGTGACTCCTATATACCCCCCCAAACTTCGTTTTTGGGGGTATAAAAAGTGTTTTAGTTTCTGTTTTTTACTTTAATTATGTACATAATGAAAATCAATGACGACCGGGGCAAGGCCAATTTTGACCCCTTTGAACAAGAAACATGGCAATGCCACAAAACCAGGTATTGTTTGTTTGTCATAATATTTTGAATATACATAGAAGCAACCTACAATTTAACTTCATGCATTGAAACAGTAACAAGGAGCCTATGGAACTCAAAAGCCATCTAAATTGAACCTTTCAAACTGTAGGAATAATATACAAGTTTAACTAAAATCTCATTCTTTAATCTAGTAATAGACCTGAAACCAATTTTCTATTTTTATTAACAATGACCTTTTATTGATCCTAGGGAACCTAAAACCAATCCCAAGCGAAATCTTCACATAGGCTTTCTATACATAAGTTTCTTTGAAATATCTTACTCAAAACTCTAATTATTGTCCAGAAACTGATTTTCTAGTTTTAGTAACAGTGACTTTGACCCTTACATACACAAAATTTCTTTGAAATATATCATTCCAAACACAAGTTATTGACTGGGGCTGTCAATTGAAGAATTTTCAACCTATCACTTACATGTATTGTTATATATCACACTTAATCGGAAAACAATACCTGTAAACTGATGCTACATCTAATCTGATTACACAAATAGCTTGTCCTTAACAGCGAATTTAACAACTATGGTAACACACACCAGTGCAGTGCATAAATTACATCAAGCCTGTTATGATGCGTATATTTTACAATATGGCACATTTAGATTTCAAAATAAGCCAAAACGTCATAATCCATATTTTTGATGTTGTCAGAAAAAATGACTTCATTTAAACCATATTTATATTTGCAACTTGTTAAAGAAATACTCGCGTCATCTTGAAAATCAATCAATAAGGAAAGTTTGTCAAAAGTAAGGCAAGAAACTGTTTAAAACAAAGAAAAAGATTATGGCTATGAAAGTAAAAGGAAGCCACAGCATAGTTTTTGATTAGCATAAACGATTAAGAAAGGGTAATAGAGAAAAGGAAAACAAGTAAGGGAAAGGCAGAAAGAAGAAATTTTTAAGGACGTTGGTGACGTTAATTGCCAAGACGTTGTAAAATGACAGTCGATTGACCAAAGACATTGTCAACGATGTTCGATAGTAGCTACGGGTCTGTGCAGTCAACTCTAAGGATTTTAAAATGAATAATTGTTAATGCATTAATTACATATATTATATTCTTGATTTACAATTGTATAATTAATTTATTATTTTACATAGTAGTCTTATGGAGAAATTGTGTCAACAATTTAACAATCAAGGTTCAAAAAAGGCTATGCTTTTTATCTATTTTGGTAGAACTTCCAATAAGTCGAAATTGAAGGGACTTGCGTAAAAACTTCGACACATCAGGACTTTGACTCATGAATAGGTCTCAATTTAATGACAAAATTCAAAGCCGTTGACGTTTATAAAGCAAGTTACAAAAGGCGTAACAAAAGGAAAGGGCGATAACTAAACCAGTTTATAGTAAATATATTCCATGTGATTATCACGCGACACCGGGTCACAGAAGTTCTCAAATGGAGGTAGTTCTTACTGTTTACTTTCAAATACCACTACAGCAATTTGAACAAATGAATCATTTATCACACATTTAAACACATACATTGAAGGCTGTTAGAACACACGGCTGTGTAATTAACATCTGTTATACAAGTTGATTGGAAATCATCTTCGTGGTCAGAAAAGGTGTGAAAAATGTCCTGAGATCAAAGTTTCAAAATAATCGACAGACTTCGACTTATTTGTGGTAAATTGTACTAGATTTATTCTAGACGGACCACGAAAAAACTTTGACACATTGAAAATGACACATAAAATTTCAACTCATATATAGGTTTTTATAAGGAATATATAGGGGGAAAAAATCTGGACTTTCATTTTACTTTGACACACCAAGAAAATCAACTAATCGAAGTTCGACTCATAGAATTTCTACTGTAATGACAATTTTGTTCTTAGTTGTAATATTCTTTTATTTTCTTGTATGTATAATACATTATCATTCAGCAACATTATATTACTGTAAGACATAATATAGTTGCGATTTGTCCAGCAATCAAGTTACAGAAGGAAAGAATGGAAATTTGCGTCACTACAGCTCTTTATCATCATCCATTCTATTACAATATAATACAAGAAAAGCATTGATGCAAAGCATCAAAGGGCGCCCAAGCAAGAAATGCAGCAAGTGAAGATGAACTAGTAGACATATGATGACAAGATATTCTTATAAACTACCAGAAATGTAGATCACTTCTGAATGAGCGGACGAAAGACATTGTTCATTATGAACTTTGATTGGCATGCTAGAGATTAGAATATTACTTGTTATTACTTTATGATCGTGGTTATTAATAGCAACGGATATACATGTATACAATCATTTATAATCCATATGTGTAACGCATGATCAACACGTACCACACCTTTGTACAGTAATTGTCCCTTATTATGTTATCGCTATTAGCGAAGACCCCCTCTTAAGGTATCTGTTCACACTTAGTAACAAGAGCTGTCGGTAGGACAGCAACGCTCGACTATTCTTAGTGCTTGATTGTAAAAAAAAAATCTTGATACAGTTACCTCCTCCTGTTTACAGGTTGGGGTAATAATGGTGAACAAGTGTGCAAAGTTTCAAAGCCATATGTCAATGGACTTTGAAAATATTTGAGGTATTACAAAAACTTTAACATAAATTCTAAGTCGAAAAAAGGGGCATAATTCTGTCAAAATGATTGATACAGTTACCTCCTCCTGTTTACGGGTTGGGGTAATGATGGTGAACAAGTGTACAAAGTTTAAAAGCCATAGGTCAATGGACTTTGAAAATATTTGAACTATTACAAAAACTTTAACGTAAACTCTAAGTCGAAAAAGGGGCATAATTCTGTCAAAATGCTTGATAGAGTTACCTCCTC